GGGGAGGGGATGGCGATGGAGGTGGAGAGGCTGGGCTGGCGGGGGAAGGGATGGGGCTATAGGTTGGGGTGCATTTTGAAGCAGAGGAATCCTGTGGCATTGCCCCTCCCCAAAAGCACCCATAGGCACCCTGGTGATGAAACTGCCCAGCCCCCTGCCTGGGGCCCGTGGTGTCCCCAAGCTGGGCATCCAGAGCTCTTTTATTCACTAAACACAGGCTGCGTCTAGAGCGGCATGATTTTCCGGAAATGCTTTGAACGGAAAAGTTTTCCGTTTTGAAGCAGAGGAATCCTGTGGCATTGCCCCTCCCCAAAAGCACCCATAGGCACCCTGGTGATGAAACTGCCCAGCCCCCTGCCTGGGGCCCGTGGTGTCCCCAAGCTGGGCATCCAGAGCTCTTTTATTCACTAAACACAGGCTGCGTCTAGAGCGGCATGATTTTCCGGAAATGCTTTGAACGGAAAAGTTTTCCGTTCAAAGCATTTTTGGAACAGAGCGTCTAGATTGGCACAGACGCATTTCCGCAAAAGCCTTTTTTGCGGAAAAGCGTCCGTGCCAATCTAGACACGCTTTTCCGCAAAAAAGCCCCTATCGCCATTTTCGCGATCGGGGCTTTTTTGCGGAAAACAAATCTGAGCTGTGTGAGCTTTTTGTGCAAAAGCTTTGAGCAAAAGGGACTTTTGCCTGAACGGGAGCAGAATAGTATTTCCACAAGAAGCACTGATTTCTTACAGTAGGAAGTCAGTGCTTTTGCGGAAATTCAAGCAGCCCGTGTAGACAGCTAGCAAGGTTTTCCGGAAAAGCGGCTGATTTTCCAGAAAAACTGGCCTGTCTAGACACAGCCACAGTAATTCTTGAAGAGGAAGAGAAAATGAGGCTGGACTTGGCCAAGTCAGATCCAGTTCCTGGCTCTGGGTGCATTTGTCTGTCTCTAGGCCTCAATTCTGCTGCTGCCCACAGTGATCTGCCTAGCCTAAACTCAGGGCTGGAAGGACAAACCGGTAGCAGGTTTAACACAAGCCAAAGGAAGCACTTCACACAACACAGTCAGCCTGTGGAACTCCTTGCCTGAGGATGCTGTGAAGGCCAAAAAAAAAAAAAAAAAAAAAAGTGGAGGTTAGGTCCATGGCTATTAGCCAAGATGAGCAGGGGTGGTGCCCCTAGCTTCTGTTTGTCAGAAGCTAGGAATGGGTGACCAGTTTATTCCCTCTGGAATGAACACTGTCCACTGTCAGAAGACAGGATGCTGGCTAGATGGACCATCATAGAGCAAGTTTAGCTGCTATGCTGCTTCCCAGTTGCTCTTGCAGTAACGCTCCCCTTCCCCCAGCTCTGGCCGATGGCCATGATGTCCAACCAGTTCCATAATGGCTACTGCTATAGCAAACTAGCCACACTCCACCAGCCAAATAGCCACATGTGGCTAGTGGCTTTCCTGTTGGACACCACAGCTCTATGGCTTCCCTATCCCTTCTGCACTTCGGTTTGCTCCTGACCCAAAGAGACCCTTCCAGGCAAAGGGAGTAACGTCTGGCTGAACAGTCCCTTCCCTTACTCAGGGCAGTGGGGTTGAGGCTTAGCCACCCCTTCTCATTAGACAGACGTTCCCCATGCCTGCCTGCTGATTGAGTTCATCAGGCCCAAGCAGGAGGCCAGCCTGTGATTCTATGCAGTGTGGCTTCAGACAGCAGGTCCAAGTGCACAAATAAGTGGTGGTTCTCCTTTCCTCTACTAGAGTCAACCGCTCCTGTGTCACAGCAGCAGCCCCTATGGACAGGGCCCCAGCAGCCTATTGCTGGGCTTGTTTCTCTTCCTTCTTCTCCCCACCACCCACTTTAAAAAAGTTGCCAGCCTCTACTTGACTCTGAAGAACTTGGACCCCCAAGAACCAGTACCATGGCCGCAGCTAGTTCTCAGAACTACAGTGGGGGGAGTGAGTCAAACCCGGACAGGTTAACTTTGGGGATTAAGACCAGCCCATCTTTTCAGAGGTGCTAAAAGGCTATCAAGAGAACAGTGACTTCACAGCCTTAGCCAAACTAGGCAACCCTGGCTATGGGAGCCATGCCTAGTTGGACAAAATAGCCCTGTCTGGAACCATTATCAGAGTCATTGGAAGGGAAGAAAATTCCAGCTGTTTAATGTACAAACTAGGGTTTGAGCTATTCCTCCTAGACACATTGTGTTCAACCAGTTCTGAAGCAGTAGCCACTTTAGCAAACAAGCCACACTCAGCCGGCCAAACAGCCACACACGGCTAGTGGCTAATACATTGGCCATCATGGTCCTCAACTATAAATTCAATGTGAACCTCATCACACTGGAATTCCTTTTCATGACTGGGTATCCAGCCTTCATTGCAATGAAGGCTGAATAGTGAATTATGCACAAGAGAGTAAGAACACACTTTTGCAATTACTTTTCAATGGCATGTAAGAGCCCTTTCTATTTTTCTACACACACAAACAGATGAAATCAGCTAGGGGGTATTCCTCTTGTAGTTACACACCATTTTTTTCTCCAGGTGTTTTAACAAGAGGCTGACACTCCAATCTCCTTTCTCTATGGGAAACTAAGAAATGGCCACAAAGTCTAGGGCAGACTCAGGAAAAGAAATGTCTCTCTTTTTAAATCCATGCCGTAACCTCATGGCCAGCCTACTTTTCCTTCAGAATTATAGCAATTACCAGTTTAAAAAAACAAAACCAAGAAGCAGATGAATTCTTTGACTCCTTTGCCTTTAACTTTTATTGATGTGGATAAATACAGAGAACATACTTGACAGCAAGATCCCAAACACCTGATGCCAAATTGGTTAACCAGTTTCCTGCTTGTTTGTGCACAAGACGCTCTTGCTGAAAGTCATCACATTTTGTATTGGGGTGGGATGGAAAGAGGGCAGAGAATGCAGTAGGTATCAGGACAAGGGCAACAGCAGTGGTGGAAAGGGGGGCAGGGGGAGAAAAAAAATCGGTCAGTTTGCAACCATAAGGCAGACCCTGAGTGTGAGATCAGAACACACATTGACTTTGCTCTTTGGCTTGATGTGGGTTTAAAAAAAGAAAGTGACATTGGACTCCAATCTGAGTTTTAGATAATTGTAGAAAGAAAGCTTAGCAACAGCACAGTTGTATCACCCACCCACCCCAAGAACCTCTAGTACAAAGGTGTTGTGAAGCACCAGTAGCTTTGAATGCTGTCAAGCATCCCTTTCACAGACCAAAGGTGGTTGGCTCTGAAGACTCAGGCCAGTTGTGCCCTTCCCAGACAGCCGTATCTTGAAGGAAATGAGTTTACCATGGAATTGTAGCAAACTTCTTTTTAAAAGTGTCCACAGTTTAAATATTTATAAACAGTTCAGAATAGTATTAAATTACCCTTCTTCCCTCACCCCTGCCAGTCACCCTTTCTTCCCCAAAGGATGAAAGAATTTTAGACCACAGGTGCTCAGAGAGGAAAACGCATGGAGTGCTACTAGGGGCAGGGTTGCTATCTTCACACTCAATGTTTGTCTTGGTGTGTCTGACCAGAGAGTGAGCAGCTTCACCACTGCCAGAGGTTATCTGTGGGATGGAAAATTCAGGCAGGACTGCTGCCTTCCCTCACTGCAGAGGTTTCACACACCGTCTTTTACCCCCACTTTCCAGTCGGATTTGGAAGATAAGA